TTGAGGTTGAGGTTGGTTCAGGAGAACGCAGAGAGATAATGGAAGTAGGGGTCTTGTATGCGTGTTTCGGAGACACAGCATACATCTACATTAAAAGCTTCCAGAGTTTTAGCCAGGGCAGCTTGTTGGCCAATCCGATAGAGCGTGCGGACATTGAACACGGCCAAGTGAAACGGGGATTTTGCCTGAGGAAACCACGTGGAGGTCAACAGATCACGTGCAGACGAGGTATGAAGAAATGCACAGAGCCATTGCGTAGAGTAGGTGTCTTTCGCTTTCCAGTTTGGGATTCGAAAGACTCCAACTGGTTGGTTGGAGATATTGAAGGATATGGCAGCGAACCGACAGCAGTGGCATTCTTGTTGTCGTTTCTTATCAGGTTTGAATGCTTGAAACGGTGTGTATGCAGAGTTCGATTGCGTACTCTGTCTGTTGACCATAGTGGCTTACCTTCTTCTCACTCCCTCAAAATGGGTCCAATCCCTAACCATCTTAACTTTTACCACTAACATTGTATGCATTGCGAGTTTGGCAGCGATCATTGAAGTTCGCCTCAGTGTATTTCGCTGTACGATGATGATGATGGTTTTGGTTGATCTTTTGGATAAAATAGCAGAATGAAAATTAGAATGTTGAAAGTAGATTCAAGCGGAAGATATCGAATAGATATAGACTGATGTTATAAGGATAATGAGTAGACTCATGAGCGCCTTTGTTTGCGACACGCAGCCATATGGCTCAGTGTCTCTAGCGATCGTTGACCGTGATCACCGGTGTTCAATCAGGGAGCCTAACGGGACCTATGTGACCGAGTCTCCTGGTTAAAGTTTTCATACCCTCATGCCAGGTCTTCGTTTGACCACCATTGATCTTTTCCCAACCACACCCTGCCTTGGCAAATATCGCTCACCGTGGCAACCTATCTGTTGACATGCGCAGCACATGTCCCAACCAGCGTTATTTATGAAGGTCGACTACTTGCTCCAATGGACGACCGCGATTACCTAAAGCTCTACGCCTAACCCCAGCATTGCTCGTGCAGTGCGACGTGGATAGCGGTGTTCGAACACCGGCAGTCTATTTTCATCCTGTTCCCGTAATCGCCAAGTCTGCAACGTAAAGCAGCACTGGTCAAACTGCTGCAGCATATACTCGACCCTTCACAGACAGCCGGATGTCGCGACGGCGCCACAGATTTCTTAAGTTGGCAAATTCCAACCGAGCCTTTTGTATGTGCACCGACACTTCATCTGTGATGCGTCCGTCTGGTGAGATATAGTTGCCCATATAACGAAATTTGTCTTCTTCTTCAGTCAGGGTGGGGTTGAGGGCTGAACCAACCCAATCTTGTAGCAACATTTTATACTTTAAAGATGCAAAGCGCATACCGAACATGGCTATACTAGCACTCAAACTAACCAGAAAAGCTTACAACTTACCTAGACGTGAGCAAGTTTCCTCGTGAGGATTTTCGTACTACCATACCAGGTTTTAATTTGACCACCCTTTACTCTTTATCCACTATCTACCTTGGCAAATAGCACGATTCGTAGTTATATATCTGGTGATATACGTAACACATGCCTCGACCACTTGCTTCAGTAGGCGGCCGCGGTTACCTGAAACGCCGCACCGACCTCCCTATCAAGGATGAATTCTACGGCTGCCTCCGAACTGTTGGCAACTGCACCCCTAGACGCAACATCCCTCTCATTACAGGGAACTGGAACTACCGCACCTAACCGTCGGATAATAACACTCAGAATATCTCAGGGTGGTTTGATCTTGGCCATCGATGCGAGAATGGGAAACGTCTGGTGACATTTTCTGACCCTAATCGGTTGATCGATTCGAAAACTCACTTTTAACAACCTAGGTGACCTTTGTTGACGTGATATTCAAACAACGGGAAAGCAGATCGAATATATCCTGGTTTCATATATATATATATATATAAAATCATGGTTTTACATAGCATTAAATGTAACTGACAACAAGAACCAAAAGTGAATGAGAAGTTCCAGTCCTAATGTTTATAAACGTATGTGTTCGGATGAGATTGGGATGGAAGTAGTAGGTCAGAGAAGATAAACTACCTGCGCGAATTTCTTCTGTGTGTGTGTGTGTGTGTGTGTGTGTGTGTGTGTGTGTGTGAATATGAATAATTACGCCTTCGGCCGTGGCTAAGATGCGGCGCTTCATTGCTATTGATTGCCTACATCGAACCTTGCAAGTCGGTCAGAACGCGCCTGCCACATCCACCGAGTGATTTGACTCAGCGGGATTCGAACAAACCGCGCTTGTGTATGTCTTGATTGTTTTTGTCCTCAGCCAAGCTGTGTAGTGTTCGCGAACGCGATCGGGTAAGCTCCTGGTCGTGCGGCCAATGTATTCATTCCCACAGGAACAGATGAATAAATACACAGAACGAGGCTGCAGAATCTGGCCCTCTGTCCTTCAGTCAAAAATACATAATCGGTTTA